TTTTTTTGGTTTTTTAAGGATCGGGCCAGTGAACTGGCGGTTCCGGGCCGGTTCTATGAACCGGCACATAAGTTTTTTCAGGCCGGTTGGAAAATCTACCGTCGAAATCGTCAAAATCCAACAAAAATTTCAATGAAAAACTCATTCTAACGAAATATTTTTTTTTTTAGAATTTCCGTTAAAATCCATTGAAAAATTCTAACAGAAATAATAACATTGGAATGCAGTTGGAATAACTATATTGAAATATATTTCCGTTGAATTATCATCATTTTCTGAGAATCAATAAAAATTATCTTTAAGATTACAAATTGACCCATATTTCCCGACTCAAAATTAATAAAACTCCATCCTACAATACAAACCAAAATACATGGGAAGAATTTCAAGACTTATTTAAGCATTTTCGTTTTAAGTATTACAAGAATATTCTTTATAAGGAAAAGTTTTTAACATTACACATTATTGTTGTAATGTGGCAAATATCGTGTACTAGATTTTTTATTAAGGAAAAGTTTTTCAACATTACGAAAATTATAAATTGATTGTAATAATATTTACTTCACGCACATAATGGGCTGACTCTTGTCCAGACTCGAAAGTTGTAACGGATACATCCATCCATACACATTCCCACATTAATCTTTGTCATGTTGTAATAATTGTTTTATTTTTGAATTCAAAGACATATATAGAATAAACATCAATATATGATAATACGATTATGTAATTAACTAATTAAGATAAAAAAAAATACAAATTAAATTATTCCTTAATTTACTTACACCAGCTCATATATATAATATCCAAATTCGTGTTGTAATAAAATTACATGTGAAAAGAGAATTGTATTATGTGGGAATCCTTAGATATGATGGTGGTGTTAGTAAATGGTAAAATTAATGTTGCAAATGTGAATGTCCAAACTCAATGAGAGAAAACCTTAACCGTGTTCGGTTTTGAGATGTGAGAATGAAACTAAAAGTTTCATTACTAGTTTCATTAATTTAGCCTTAATGAAGGCATTAATGGAACACCTCTTCATTGAATGGAAGCTAGCTCATGAGCACTATAAATAGTGCATGCATGCTAATGGGAAGGACACACCAAGTGAAGGAAAAAGAAAAGAAACATAAACATATATTCTCTTTCATCTCCCACAAGAAGTCTAAGAAAATTAAGGGTTCTTGGCGACTGAGCTTCTGATCGAGGTGAGTGTGTTAGATAGTGCAGTCTTCACACTTTGAGCCGTCTTATCCTGGGAGAAAAGGCGTAGTACTCGTTGCACAGTATCGGAGCGTCTGTTTCTTCAAGGCAAACATATTGTTTCTGTGATTCGGCTATATGTGTTCTATAACAATATAGAACTGTCAGTTAAGTTATTTAATTTTATAATAAAGTTATTTATTTACTAATAGAAATCTGGTTTCATCTCACGTTCCCGTGGTTGAATGTTTGTGGTTTCTATTTTCAAATTCTTAATACGTATATGTGTTGAACTCTTCTTTAATTCGCCTTTACAATCATTACCTTTTCCAACAATTCGCACCCTTAATTCACCACAAAGGTTCATGAACAAAAATAAAAAATATACATTTTTATTATATATCACTAAATAATATAAAATAAATGAATGAATAAAATAGATGTAAATGAAAAAAACAAAGACACACAAATAAGGGAAAATGCTAAGGTCCTGTTACCGTAGTAACTTCCCTTCCCTGAAAAGTGATAGTTTTCTAATGGTTACACACTCCGACATAATGATTCTATAACGAGACCGCAAACCGCCAGTTGGTGGGCCCACTTTCTTGCATGAAGACCGAATGTTGAAGCGCAGCTGCACACGTGTCCCCAGGCGAGTGGAACCATCGCTGTCACCAAGTTGACGCCGTCAGCAGCAGCGGTTTTGTGGGACCAACAGTTCCATTTGCTTTGTTTTGTTTAGCTATAAAAATCTGCTCCTCTTAGTCATTTTCATAGCCCAACAAACTCAGTCACTCTTCTGCAAGCCCTAATAATGAAACAAACCCGCTCACTGTTCCGTGACTACTTGGGCCGCTCCGACTCCGAACCCGAATCCATGGAAGAAGAAAACCGCAGCGTACTTTCCCATGACGCTCCCGCTGGATCCGACCCGGCCCACAACCCACTCCACCCGCCTCACCTCAACGGCTCCGATCCCAATCCCAATCCCGCTCCCGCAACCGACCCGGACCCGAGGACCCCAGTAACACCCGCCAGGACCCGGGTCGGATCTCGAAACCCGAGGCCCAACGCCGTCCCAATTAGGGTTTTCTCAAAAGAGGACGAGATTCTCATCCTCCACGCCCTGATCGACCACCTGGACCGAAACCGGTCCGCCAAGTCCATCGACCTGCCCGCCCTCCACCGGTCCATCGCGGGCCGCCTGTCCTGCGACCCGAACCCGAACCAGCTGAAGGCCAAGATCCGGAAGCTCCGGAAAAACTTCTCCGACAACTCGGCCCGGGCTGGGTGGGCTCCGCGTGGGTCCCACCAGCGTCTGGTCTACCAAGTCTCGAAGCTCGTGTGGGGCGGGGATAGCCCCCGGTGGGGGAAGGGGTTGAATTTCGGGACGAGAGGTAGAAAGGCGAGAACCGAAATCGAAAACAGGCCAGAAGAGGTGGGCCCGTCCGACAGGCCCGACCTGGCCCAAGAAGGGAATGGGCCTGAGAGGGATGACATGGCCGTGGTCCGGAGTCTAGTGCCGGAGATTGTCGGCTATGGCCGCGGCGACGGTGGCATGGGTCAGCTCATTAAAAAAATCGGGTCGGAGATTTTCAATGGCCCGGCGCCGGCAAGTGGGGCCGGTGAGTGGTGGAAGCTTATTGTGAAGGACGTGGAGCTCCACCGGAAAGAGATGGAGATCAAGCTTGAAAAGGCAAAGCTAGTTCTGAATGAGCTCGAGCCCAAGCCCAGGTCCAGGCCCAACAATTGACTAACAATTGTTGTCCGGTAATATTGGATTGCTTGCTCTCGACTCTCTGGTTTTTAATAATGTGTTGTGCGTGTGCGCGCGAGACGTGGTTTTATTTCAGTTTTTTGCGTTTGTTTTTCTGTACTTTAACTGTGTAACTCTTGTTGTGTACCTGTGTTGTTTAATTTAATACTGCATGTGGTTTGTACTCTTATCTTGGTGTATTGTGTTTTGTTGTTCGTGGAATCTATTGTTTTGCTTCGTGTTGGTTAGGTTAGTTTAGGCTTGCTTAAGAGAAACATAAAAATATTGGTAGTTTATGTTCACCATCCATTGTTAGGGTACTTATATAAACTACCTCAGTCCTCACTTTTAGTTCATAGTTATGTAGTCACTCCATCTCTTTATTGAGATGGTGATTTCGTTCAACATGTAGTTATTTCTCTTAAAAAAACCGTTACTCAGTGTTGGTGCGAATGCAGTTTTTATGGCGTAACAACGTGTGAACATGACTTTTGTTGATGGTAATGGTGTAGGACCCACCTATTGAATTAAGAATCGATTTTTCGGATGGACAAAGATATGATCTAGCGCCTTAATTCCACGGTCAATTATAGTGATACTTAGCGTTCTTTTCAGTTTTCCTACTTTTAATCACCACGTGTCTTGTCTTTGATAAACCTTGATTATGTTGCCGATATTAAATTCACTGTCGAAAATCTGAACTTTTGAACTATACGGGCTATGGGAGCCTTGTGTAATTCCGAATTCTCTTACTTACCACTTGTGAGGAGGTTACTATTTTTAGTATAACGATGCATGTCCTATAAAACCCTATTGAACACCATCGTTTTTATTCTTTCTTCATATCATCAACCCTATCTTTCTCCTTCTATCTCTCTTCTCAACTCGACTATATGATTTAGATATAGATATCAACCGTCGAGAAATCATAAACAAGTTAACCAAACCCCATTTGCTCTTTCTATCCCTTCTCCTTAATAGCCTAGGTACCATGAGATTGCATCCATAATGATTCGCATCACTCTTAAAACATACGAGCCTTGTTTGATATTATGTGAAACCTACCGCAAGCTCGATGGCTTGAATGAAAGAAAGAGAGAAAACGTATTTGAAGCTTTGTATCTTCTTACTGAAATGGTGGCGCCCTTGAGCATCACATCATGATAAATATTGGAGAAACCTACACATCTAGCTAGCGAGGTTACCAATATGTGTGATGCTTTATGGTTTTTCCGATTTTTAATCAGCACGTGTTTGAACTTTAGGGTTTTCATAATAAAGTCACTGACGAGAATCTAAACTTCCGATTATAGTGTGTTTACAGTTCTCTTCCAATTACATTCGCCTCCATAATGAAAGCCAATCCTCATTGGATATCACGCCTTTTGACGATTCGAATCATACTTAAAACCAATTTCGTCATTGGATATCGCGGGTTTTGATGATTCGAATCATACTTAAAACCATGCAAGCCTTATTTGATATTAATTACGTGAAACATGCCACAAGCTCTATGGTTTGAAAGAAGCAAAAGAAGAAATGTATTTGAAACTTTCGTCGCATGTTCTTTCTCAAACAACGTCGGTCATGATAGTACCACAAATATTCACCCATGGCCATGCTTTTTGCTTCTTCTTCACAACACAAGTATTCTTAATTAGGTTCCAATAATTATATGTTTTATAAATATGTATATTTAATATTATTAATGTATGAATACAGATTTTGTTATATATATTTAGATATTTGGATTATTATAATATATCAATTAAAATTATTAATAATTTACCTCTAGTTCGACTACTCCTTAATTAACCGTTTGGGGGATTTAATTTTAAATCTGGGCTAATCTTCTATTTCAATTGTATTCTATTTTGTGTTTCATGTCTTTTGTAAATGGCATGGCGTAATATTAAATTAATTAAATAGGTTCACTCTATTTTGTAAAGAATTATATTATATTGTTTAACGGCCAGAAACAAATTAGGCTCAAGAAAATACATTCCACGACATTCAGTTAGCACATAAGCTCAATCTCTATCTTAACAGGATATTATGCGACATGGGCCTGACTGAGGTATTTACATGGGCCCGACTTAGTGCTAGAATTCAGTAAACATAAATTGTTTACCATTCCTTGCCTGACACACCAGAAAATCAAATTAGTTATTTAACCAATCAAAATTAAATTGTTTCCAAACTTGTAAATATTAATTTTTCTAATTGTGGATTATACTTTATCAAAGTGTAATCAATAAACGTTGAAATGACAACTCTCTCTATATATATATATATATCTTGGCGTATTAATAACTCTAGTCCTTTAGGCCACACTAGTATCTTCACCCGTGCGATGCACCGAACATATTTATTAAAATGTTTTAATAAATACATTAATATATATATAATAAAAAGTAAATGACAAATAAAAAACATTATTATTGAATAGATAGTAAAGTACAATATTGTAGGGTATTACAAATTGTGGAAAACTTATTAGTTTTCTTTTCCCCATTATCGTCCCCACATATTAATATCTTCAATCCATGTGGATTAGTGACTCGAGACACATCAACGTATAATTGACCATGACTGAACACGGGTCTTTTCAAGTAAAGTTCGACATGGGATAATGACTGCTCTTGACTCTTGTTGATTGTCATTGCGTAAGAAAACATAAGAGTAAATTTTCTTCGTTGGAACTTGAAGGGTATCCTGAGATCAGATGGAGTTACGGAAATTCTTGGTACCAATACCTTATGTCTAGCATTTGATCATATTAGAATCTTACATTGGAACACGTAGGTGGAAAGCTTCGTTATCACCAAGCGTGTTCCATTACACAGTCGAATCGAACTATCAATGTTTCTCAAAAACATGACAAGAGACTCAACATTTAAGTGCAATTCATGATTTAGAACACCAGAACATTTTATACTATTTAAGAACTCCAGCGTGTGCAAGTCATGAAGAAATCAACACCACCATCGGATTTGCATGTTGTATCAGAACTTAAATAAGTATTACCCTCCGATTGATTCAAAGATGACATATATTCATTGATGGAGTCAACAACATCAAATGTTGGATCTTATATAGCCCTATCTTTCAAATAGATGGGATCATACCATTGGATAAGTGCTTTCCATGATGGTTGCGATAGGGTCAAGCACGACACCAACATTTGATGTGGATAACATATTTTCATTGCAAAAATCATGTTTCGAAACAAAAGTTTAAGTGTTGAAAAAAGACATGAAAGATTGTAATTAGAGACAAAGAAATTAATCAAAGTCTTTGAAAAAACTTGGTTTGAATACAACACCAATATTTGATGTGGATATTGTATTTTCATCCAAAAATCATATCTTGAACTAAAAGTTTATGCATTAAAAAAAGCCATGTAAAAGAGTAATTGGAGACCAAAATAGAAAAATTAATCAGCGCCTCCGAAAAAACTTGGTTTCAAATACAACACCAACATTTGATGTGGATAACATATTTTCATTGCAAAAATCATGTTTTGAAACAAAAGTTTAAGTATAAAAAAAGTAAAAAACTATGGAAAATAGTAAATAGACACCAAAATAGAAAAATTAATCAACGTCTCCAAAAAAAAATTGGTTTTGAACACAACACCAACATTTAAAGTGGATAACATATTATTTTATCGCAAAAATCATGTTTTGAAACAAAAGGTTAAGTATTAAAAAACCCATGTAAAATAGTAATTAGTGACGAAAATAGAAAAATAAATCAATGTCTCCGAAAAAACTTGGTTTTCAACAAAACACTAACATTCAATGTGGAAAACATATTTTCATCGCAATAACAATGTTTCGACACAAAAATTTATGTATTGAAAAAACCCATGGAAGATAGTAATTAGAGACCAAAATAGAAAAATTACTCAACGTCTTTGAAAAACTTGATTTCGAACACAACACCAACATTCGCCATAAATAACATATTTTCATCGCAAAAATCAAGTTTTGAAACAAAAGTTTATGTATTAAAATTAAAACCCATGGAGAATAGTAAGTAAAGATCAAAATAGAATCATCAATCAACATCTCCAAAAAAACTTAGTTACACAATACCACCATTAAATGTGGATAACATATTTTCATCGCAACAATCATGTTTCGAAACAAAAGTTTATGTACATGTATTAAAAAAACCATGTAAAATACCTATTAGGGACAAAATAAAAAAATTAATCAACGTATCCGGAAAACTTGGTATACACAAAAATTGTGGAATATTAATGTAGATTTCAGTCTTCTTGAACTATGAGAGAACAATATAATGACACATATTTTGAATATGAGATTTATAGCGTGAATTACTCATATTGTGTACTCGATTATCTTGGTAAGTCAGGGTGTATTTTGTTAAGCATTCACCATTAATAATGCTTAATTTTTATTGACATTAGTATGATTCATGTATTTTGTTAAGCATTCACCAACAAAATTCTAAAAATAATACACCAAGTTAGGCGTTGTCAACAAAAAAGACATTTTGTTGTTCCTTATGGAAAAGAAACATTTAGTTGACAATCTGGTCGAAAACGATACATTAATCACTCAACCTGGATAAAAAAGCTGACGTGGTCAGGTTAGATAATGACGTGACATTATAAATTTTCTTAATTTCCTACGTGGTATATACGTGGCGTGATGTGTCATCCTTCTCTCCAAGTACACAACTACACATAGATAAATAAAAATAAAAATAATCCAAAAATAAATAAATAATAAAAACACTTTGGAAAAAATAAAATAATAATAATAGAAAATAGAAAAAAACCCACAAATAAAAAAAAAAGTATAAGAAATATATTTCGTTCAATTTTGTTAACTATATATTAATAAAATATTTAAAAAAAAATTATATTTTGTTAATATATATTGAAAAATAAAAAATA